AGCTACATATCTAATGTGACATCATTCATCTAAGATGAGTGTGGTCCGGACTGGAGCGCCCAGTGACTACTCAGCAACAATTGTTTATGCGCGAGCAAAGCGCTGTTGACAGCAGCGAGCCACTCGCAACATTCTTCATAAGAAAGTGCACGAAAAATATGCTCAGATGTGGTGGATGGGGTATTGAGTATCTGCTGCGTGTTAATTCTACAGAAACCTGCCGTGAATTCACTCGAAAAGATCTGTTGTCCAACCGTTCAGCTCCAAATAAGAGTAGCTTTTCATACCAATCTTGACTGAGAAGCATCACGCGCATGACGTGGTATGCGAAATGGATACTTTTGCCCTACTATGTCAGTCGCAAGGTGGGGCCGACCGAGCTGAGCACAGCGGTGACCGAAGTATCGCGAGACTTGTCAAAGAGCTCTCCACGCATGATGAACATACTTGACAGGACAAATAGATCTCAGAAATGACATCGCCTTGAGAGTCGAACTCCTGATGGGCATCATGCGTATAAGCACTGAAGTGGATGCATTCGTCATTATCCACGGTTTTCAATGAGCGCGCCACATCTAATCAACAGCAACATGAATAATTCGCACAGATTGGTGACAGGTAATAACATAATTATGATCACGAGAGTCGTGGAATGCTTCTTTAGTCATATACTATTTGCTTCAGGAGTATCAATTGGAAATTTGTCGTTGAGGTCACACAAGGCCTTTGGCCTGGTCCTGCCCGGAGCTGTAGCTAATCATCATCGCAATCACAGTTAAAAAACAAAAGCAGTAGTTTATTTGGTGACTAGTTTCGTACTATCTGAAGTCGTAACAGGACATCCCAGCCGTTACTTCCCTCACATGCATCATCATGATAGTGATGAAAAGTGATTCTTGACATTGTCAAGTTGACGGTATTTTATGATATCGTCTGCGGTTCCACATTAGGAACCTCACAATAGTCTTGAATAATCGATCGACTTGGCGTGCGCTTTCTTTGTTCGAGTCGCGCACGCCGTGAAGACTAAGTGCGCAAAGTTTGTGGCCTCGGGGCCGAGTGTCCGCACAATCCGGGTCGAGTGTCCGCACCCGCGGAAGGTGTGCTTAAAACCTTGGAGTAGGCGGGCCTCCGGCCCGCCGTTACCCAAGAATCCTTCAAGCATCCACGTAGCATCCTACTGACGCCGATAAGAGCCACTGGTACGAACTAGTAGACACGCGCGCGATTTTCGTGCAGATTGCAAGAAATCACGTTGTGGTGGAAGAAACTGCCGTCACTGACGACCCGTCAACTGCGGATCTTATCATCAATATGGAGTAATTGGTGCCCTTCATGGGTATTCTGAAATGTGATGAATGGCATCGTGTTCATTTCTAGTCGTGTAGGGTAAGTCCCAAAGGGAAATTTACATTTTTTTACAATTTATTTCCAGATCACCTAACACAATTACCGATACTCTACAAGTGATACTTGATTCCGGAAGTGCAACCCGATGAGTGTATATGATATAGTTGAGACACTGCTGAGGGTCTATGACTCGGCTCCAGATCACCAAACACAATTACCGATGCTCTAGTAGTGATGCTTGATTCCGGAATTGCAACCCGATGAGTGTATATGACATAGTCGAGACACTGCTGAGGGTCTATGACTCGGCTTCAGATCACCAAACACAATTACCGATGCTCTAGCAGTGACACTCGATTCCGGAATTGCAACCCGATTAGTGTATATGATATAGTTGAGACACTGCGAAGGGTCGATGGCTCGGCTCCAGATCACCAAGCACAATTACCGATACTCTACAAGTGATACTTGATTCCGGAATTGCAACCCGATTAGTGTATATGATATAGTTGAGACACTGCTGAGGGTCTATGGCTCGGCTCCAGATCATCAAACACAATTACCGATACTCTAGCAGTGATACTTGATTCCGGAATTGCAACCCGATTAGTGTATATGATATAGTTGGGACACTGCTGAGGGTCTATGCCTCGGCTCCAGATTACCAAACACGATTACCGATACTCTACAAGTGATACTTGATTCCGGAAGTGCAACCCGATGAGTGTATATGATATAGTTGAGACACTGCTGAGGGTCTATGACTCGGCTCCAGATCACCAAACACAATTACCGATGCTCTAGTAGTGATGCTTGATTCCGGAATTGCAACCCGATGAGTGTATATGATATAGTTGAGACACTGCTGAGGGTCTATGACTCGGCTTCAGATCACCAAACACAATTACCGATACTCTAGCAGTGATGCTTGATTCCGGAATTGCAACCCGACTAGTGTATATGATATAGTTGAGACATTGCTGAGGGTCTATGACTCGGCTCCAGATCACCAAACACAATTACCGATACTCTACAAGTGATACTTGATTCCGGAAGTGCAACCCGATGAGTGTATATGATATAGTTGAGACACTGCTGAGGGTCTATGACTCGGCTCCAGATTACCAAACACAATTACCGATGCTCTAGTAGTGATGCTTGATTCCGGAATTGCAACCCGATGAGTGTATATGATATAGTTGAGACACTGCTGAGGATCTACGACTCGGCTCCAGATCATCAAACACAATTACCGATACACTAGCAGTGATACTTGATTCCGGAATTGCAACCCGATTAGTGTATATGATATAGTTGAGACACTGCGAAGGGTCGATGGCTCGGCTCCAGATCATCAAACACAATTACCGAAACACTAGCAGTGATACTTGATTCCGGAATTGCAACCCGATTAGTGTATATGATATAGTTGAGACACTGCGAAGGGTCGATGGCTCGGCTCCAGATCACCAAGCACAATTACCGATACTCTACAAGTGATACTTGATTCCGGAATTGCAACTCGATTAGTGTATATGATATAGTTGAGACACTGCTGAGGGTCTATGGCTCGGCTCCAGATCACCAAACACAATTACCGATACTCTAGCAGTGATGCTTGATTCCGGAATTGCAACCCGACTAGTGTATATGATACAGTTGAGACACTGCTGAGGGTCTATGACTCAGCTTCAGATCACCAAACACAATTACCGATGCTCTACAAGTGATAATTGATTCCGGAATTGCAACCCGATTAGTGTATATGACATAGTTGAGACACTGCTGAGGGTCTATGACTCGGCTTCAGACTATCCAACACAATTACCGATACTCTACAAGTGATACTTGATTCCGGAAGTGCAACCCGATGAGAGTATATGATATAGTTGAGACACTGCTGAGGGTCTATGACTCGGCTTCAGACTATCAAATACAATTACCGATACTCTACAAGTGATACTTGATTCCGGAATTGCAACCCGATTAGTGTATATGATATATTTGAGATACTGCTGAGGATCTATGACTCCGCTTTAGACTATCAAACACAATTACCGATGCTCTAGTACTGATGCTTGATTCCGGAATTGCAACCCGATTAGTGTATATGATATAGTTTTTTTTTTATGATATAGTTGAGACACTGCTGAGGATCTACGACTCGGCTTCAGACTATCCAACACAATTACCGATACTCTAGCAGTGATACTTGATTCCGGACTCAAGTATCACTGACATACTAATCGGAACCTATTACGGATATTATTGCATATTAGATATTAGATATTATTTCATTGCGGAATAACTAGAACCTTGTAAAATAAATTGTAAAAAAATGGAAATTTCCCTTTGGGACTTACTCTACACGACTAGAAATGAACACGATGTCATTCATCACATTTCAGAATACCCATGAAGGGCACCAATTACTCCATATTGATGATAAGATCCGCAGTTGACGGGTCGTCAGTGACGGCAGTTTCTTCCACCACAACGTGATTTCTTGCAATCTGCACGAAAATCGCGCGCGTGTCTACTAGTTCGTACCAGTGGCTCTTATCGGCGTCAGTAGGATGCTACGTGGATGCTTGAAGGATTCTTGGGTAACGGCGGGCCGGAGGCCCGCCTACTCCAAGGTTTTAAGCACACCTTCCGCGGGTGCGGACACTCGACCCGGATTGTGCGGACACTCGGCCCCGGTAGCAAAGTTTGTGGGGGGCTCGTAGTTGATTGGTACGTATGATGTTGTACGAGGGCGCCTGATCATTCGTATTAATTTGAATATTTCTATTGGCTTATATCGACTCATACTGTTGATTTCGAAAACTACTACACTCATTACTCGTATTGTGTCCAATTGACCTCTCCTGAGCTTTAGGAGCGTTCCAGAGATTAGATCAAACTCGACCTTGGGAACGCTCTTGTAACACAGGAGAGGCTTTCAACCGACAGTCTTCTGTATTAATGTCAACTACCTTTTGGACCGCATCAAAACACCGGTCCGTGAGTAAAGGGAAAGAAGCACCATCTAAAGTTGAGCGTGAAAAACGTGGAGAAGGCCGTGCTGGTGAACGAACTGGTACGGTGACGAGTGATACAAATGGAAGGGTCGGCCGTAAAGGACCTCAACTCAATTCGGAGTTGGTCGATGACATGACTGCATTGCGGATGGGTAAGACTAGATTGGTGAGTAAAAACAAGAACAAGCCTAGTAAACTAAAAGAAGTTATTCTTCATGATAAAATAATCGAAAATGATGATGACGATGGTATTGCGGAAAACTCCAATGAGGTGAATGGCAGCACTCTACCAGAGATCACCGTACGGCACTACGTTCATCAGTAATACGGGAGGGGCTTGGGAGAACTGGGGAACTTCTCCACGAAGAAGTGTGGGAAAATACCATACGTAAATTTTGAAAAAATTTTGAATAGTTACCTGAATTCGCATATGAACTAGGGAGGGAATTTGCGAGCTCAGCTGAGGAAAGCGAACATTTATTCCTCAAACACTGCTGTGCCGTGGTGTTTTCATACACGCCTCCAGGCAGTGGTCACGGCAAAGATTATAAGTTCTCTCGAACCACTCAGAAATTCTGAGTCAGAATAGTAGTTGTCGTTTGTATGTGGATGAGCCTGGGGGAGAATTTTCTTGTAAATTTTTCTGATGAGAATGTTGAAAAATTCCAATTTTTCCATTGAGAGTTATATTAGGTTTCTCTCACCAGAGCTGGATGTACTAGTACAAGATATGCTCGAAGATTTACATCGCTATCAAGAAAGGGCCAAAGAGAATCCTGCTAAGTTCAAGAAGCGAAAAAGATTTGTCACTGGGCTGCGAGAAGTCAGTCGGGCGCTCAGATTGGGGAAATTGAAAGGTAGTGAAAGGAGTTTATTCCCCATCTTGTATTGTGTTATATTAAATACTTCAGTTTACTCCGCTTCTCGACGTTTTAAATCGACGATTTGTTCAGGACTGGCGTTTCTCATATCATTAATTTAGGCTTCGGCGTGATAACGAAAGATAAGTGAGGTGAAATTTGAGAAGATCGAATTTGAACTTGAGTTCGAGTATTCAGCGGCTTTGAATAACATATGCGAAACCATTTCTGTTCATTGCGTAATCTCGTCACATTGCCATGCGTAACGTACTATGTTGTTACCACCTTTTCGACCGGCAACAGGTCTGCTATAATATAGTACCAGAATTTGGACCATCTACAGGTCTGGAGAAATGGCGATATGCACTGACCTTTATTCCCTCACATATTTTCGTACCCATGTTGACTATGCTGAGGCGACTTGGAACATTCCTTCCACTGCTTACTATCAGGTGTAATAGTGGCACCAAACATGCATTCATCAGCATCTTCTGGCGGTCTGGACGATCATGTGGTTGAGATTGTCGATGAAGCCTCTTTGGGAGGCGGTAGCAGCTCCCTGGCAAAGAGTAGGCGTCAGTGGCAACTCTATAGCATTTCCAAGTCAAATTATTTTCTTGCCAAGTTAGTTTTTTGCTCATTTAGTTAACATTTTACCCGTAGCTTCAATGAAAATACCAATAAAATTTAAAAAATGCTATATGTGCGATATGCTGTAGATTGATTTCAGATAAGCTCCTCGATTCTGATCGTCCAGCCGTACCGGTGGTATTTGCCCTATCGAAGAATAGACTTGGTAAGTGAAGTATAGAGATAGTTGAGTATGGCTTTCCTTTAGGTAAGGCTTGCGGTAAACCTGTTCGACAATGTGCTGTTGGTCTATTATCCGTCGAAGGCGCTGAGAGGAAATGGAAGCAGGTAGAGCTTTAAACTTCAACTCGATGTTGTCACTTGAATGTTATTAGATTATCGAAATGACAGAAAGGCTGAGGCGTAAGTGGCTCGAAGAGCGTCTTACATCAGCCTCAGTTGATGTCGTCGACACGACTTGAACGATATAGAGCTTGCCTGTGCATAACTGAGCTCTTGCGAGTTCAACTCCAAGGTTCTAATTGTTGTAATTGTGTCGTTGAAGATTTGGCCTCAGTTTTAGTCGATCCGTCTTGGGTTGTTGAGTGGTCGGAAATGTGTGAATTATCGATCGATTGTAGAGAATATTGGGATTCTGAACCTCAGTATGACCGCAAAATGTTTGAATGAAAATCAATTATCGTATTAAGGCTCTCCTGCTGGATTCGTGTTATATGATTGGCTGGAGCAATCACAGTATCGGGGTATCTACTACGGCACTAAAACTCAAACAACCACACAAAGAGCACCACGAGTACTTCATTGCTACAATTTGACATGCACGGAGAAACATTATGAATCCAATTGTTGAGCATTAATTATCGAGGCCAGTAGCAAAAGCAACAGTAACAATATTCAGTATCATCAGAAGGATCTGTACCGGGAGACCTGCGTTCTTCTGGGGTCGAAGATAGCCGGATCTGATATCCAGAAGACTCCTCTGCGGTCGGATCGTTGGTGTGCTCGTGATAGACCGACACAGGCGGTTGTGGGCTAAGAGTACACTGAGGCAGATGATTGGACAAGAACCTGAAGTACTGTGTCAAACCTACCTTCCCGAATTCTACTCCCCTATCCACAGAGTTGTTGGTGACTGAACGGCTATGCTGAGGAGCATCATCGAACTGCACGAAACATTTTCGATACGCAATCCTACTGTAGGGGTAACTTCTCCACGGCTGGTAAGCCAGGGATGTTGCAAAATGTCTAAGCAAAGTGGTCGATCCCGAGGGTCGATAGATAAGCATCGTCCTGAGACACTCATGTGGAATAAACGAAAGGCGATTCCTTCGATATAATATAAAAGTATAGACTGCGATGACGGATCCACGTACAAATTATTCCAACACGCCGCAGGAAATGTTAAGTTGGTTATGAAGACTGCCTACCATGAAGTGAATTCCGAGTTCGATCCTCGATTTCAGTTCATCCCGTTCGCCCAGTCAATCCGACTATCGATAATGGAATTTCTAATTTGATGTCCACCCAAAATAGTCTCCCATGTTACGACAGCAAAACTAGACTTACGTATCAGGCTGATAGAATCCTGATCCTTGATATCTTGATTTAGTTTAGGTCTGGGGAACTTGCCATCCTTCCCTGGTCTTTCGGCACATTCCGGTGGACTTCCTACGAGCATCTGAGGCAATCGTCAATGAACTGTGAGACTTCAGCAGTAAAATACTTCATGTAAAATCATACCGAGCCCCCACACGTCGGTCTTCTTGGTCTGCCTTGGTTCCGCCATGCACTGCATCTGCTGCAACTGCAAAGCACAGGTGGTAACCAGTCATCGAGCTCATCTCGACGACCTCACCACTTCAGGAGCCATGTACGCTACAGTTCCACAAAGAGTCTTCAGGGAACCCTACCAAGTGACTAACAAGTCATTTCCACACTTCTTTGCTTACCCATTCCTGACATTTGGCAGTGCCAAAATCGAGCAAGTAGATTGTCGGAAACTTCATATTCCCCCGAGGTTCAACCTGAGTCACTCGATGATCTGAACGACGACGGCTAAACTGGCATTGCTATCATACAATCATAATGTTGCCCGGCTTCAGGTCGCGATGCACTATTCGGTGACTGTGGATGTGCCTGGGTATATCAACAATCAAAAAATCTTCAGTAGTCACCAGCAGGCTAGCGTCAACCATATTATCGATTCGTGAGTTGCATAACCCACCTGACTGCTTTGACAAGCTGCCGGAACACATGCTTAACTCTGGAAGGCGAGCACTCCTCAATTGTCTCAATCTATGCTTACATGACGGTTTCCTCTACGCCGTAGTTGGCCGGAGCCTCTCGACTGAGCCACGAGGATAAGTCTTCTCCCTCAACATAGTCAAGCACCAGGAACGTGTCACCGTTGACTGAACTGCTCAGCTGGAATCGATACTGTACGCGATTCCTCACATATGTACGATCCGTGCATATCCACGACATTTGGATGAGGCCTCTTGTGGGCCATCACATCAACCTCAGCTCGGGTTTGCTCCGTGTCACCATTCAGCCTCTTCAGTGCGTATCTACGTTAGTCATCTCCAACAGCGATGTTCGAGGTACCCACTCTTTCCCCGTGTCCTTATGGACGGCCTTATAAACAGCCCCACCGCCGCCTTGCCCGAGCTGCTCAACAACCTGTTGAGACAACGTAGAATGAGGGGCTCTGGGGTATTGACAGTCTGAATTCAACGGTTATACAAACTCGGCTTTTCGAGGAGACTTATGTCTCGGGGTGAAATTATAGACTATCAAACGCTCGTGAAACGTGGTCAATCGATCCTCATTGTCATCGTGGTGATGTTGGTTAGAACGTCAATTCCCAGACTTCCGCAATCGCCGAGCTGTCTCGCGAATATCAGTTTCCATACCAATTTTGTTTACAATGCACAAAATAGAGAATCCTACAGAAGCTGACGTCCATAGTAATCTTAAAAAGGTCTTCGCATATAATTGGATATAGTCCGGCGCACCTCGAAGTCCTCGTGAGTGAACGGCTGAGCGATCTCATCTTCCCGGTCCTCTCTTTCGGAAACCTCGATCACCGGGAAAACGGTCGAGCTTGGACTTTGATTCTGCCAAGAATACTATCGAGACATCAAATTCTTCAAGTTGAAAGTCTCAACGAAGCGACGAGTCCAATCAAAGGCATTTGTGTAACATGCCAATTCGGACTCAAAATTGACTATATGTTGATATCCACATGGCAGTGCTGATATTGGCGAGCAAGCGAGCTAAAAGCATTGCTTAGTGGGCACAGCCAGGCATACTGCGATGACTTCAACGAGTTATCATGCATATCAGTCAAGATCATTGGAAAGATGTCGCTATCGTTTCACAACATTCAATCTTCTTGGCATCAAACAGTTTGATTCAAACTTCATGTGATTTTTTAACTGTGAGTATGCTGCAACATGATGGTGTATAACCGACCGATATTGAAGCAGCATTTTCAGTATCGACGTCATCCTCGACGTCCTTGAACATATTCATGCACACTGCCTTCAGTAGCTCCTCTGAAGCCGACGATCGCCCGGCCAATGAATCAGGTTTTCGAATCTGAATCATATGAACTTGTTTATTGACGATGTTACCCCGGAGTTCACCAGAGAGTTATTTCCGGAACGTGCTTCAGGGAAATTCTTCTCATTCTGAAAATGATTATTGGCCTACATGAAATCGCGTTGAACCAAATCGTATTAACCTGCTGAATCGACGAGTCTGTTGACACCGAAGCTGCTTTAGCAGTGACACGCCCCTCGTTGGACACAGATGGTGTCTGACCAGATGAAACCTGAGGTGATTGTGGACTCGAAATGCTTACTTGTGGGCGCTGAGAATCTGAAGTGGTTGCTACTGTATGGCGAACGGCTCGATTCTCCTTAGCTGAGAGCTCATCGTGGACGGTTATATTGACAGTGCCAGCTCCAGTCAGCATTTTATGTATATATGAAGTCGACGGCAGACACGAGGGCGAACGAAACACTCTTCCACCGGAATGGAATTAGTGGTGTTAAGAAGTATTCATAGTTGACTTGATATCTTGCTCTCTTACTCTTCTTTCTACAATCTATAGCTGTGGCATGCATGCAGTAGTGACTAGTGGATGCACCAGGAGTTAGTGCAAATGAAATCTATGACTAGGCCTTCGTGACGAAGGGGCGGAGCTCACTGAGTCGGACTCAGTGAGTCCACGTCCATGGACTCAATCAATGGATTTTACATAGGTCCCTGGTTCAATCCACGGGTAGGACATTTCTCCGTCATTAAAGGTTTTCGTGCATATCTCGTCGAGTTGAGTTCGTATAATCGAGTTTTCCGATTTATGCCTACACCTCGGCATTCAGAGGAGTCGTTTGATCTATCTGGTAGCCTCCTACGCTTCGTAGTTAAGCCATAATAATTCTGCACGCACGCACGCACGCACGCACAACGCGAAAGTGCCTGTTGTTGCGGGATTATACCGCCGGTATATGCTCCGCTCGTTTCGCTCGCTCCGCAATTGGTCGAAGCAGACCAGGGTCTCCGAAATCGGTAGCAATTCTGCCGGATGAAGCAGTCAAGGCTCTAACTAGTACGAATCCTACAGCGACACGTTGGATCGAGAGATCAGGAACGTTGCGTCAATGGCCACCTGCTTAGTGTTGAGGTACGATAACCTCCTGTTGATGGTAGAAGATGTGACCACTTTGACCGAAGAAGCGGGAATCTATAGTGACGATCAGCCTGGGTCGGACTAAGTCTAAACGAGGTGAGAGAAACAAGGTGCAAGCCGCTGTACACCTGCGAGAAGGCTTCCTGTATGGCCCATTGCTTGCACAGAGCGAAGATGAGAGGCCCAGAAGAAACACGGTGGTCACCGAGAGTGTCATCGATGAATACTAACCAGTTTGGCCAGTTTCAGGACAGCAATGAAGAGGTGCCCTCTCTAAGATGGTTCTCGACGAAGGTGAAGGATTGGAATCTATCAGCCAGGCTATCAGCCTGGCTGATAGCCTGGTTTCAAGTGCCCGATTCAGATGTGATGACGTCACTGAGCAAAGAGCGAATGTACAGATCTTCTGCGTGAACTTCCGAGCATTCTGTCGCAGATGACATCTGAGCCAGATTATCTGGCAGATATCGGCAGAACCTGCTTGCATTCTATCCATCATCCCCGAGATATCGAATTGAATGCAACGGAAACAGCGCCAGTGAATGGAGAGTAACTGTAAATATTTAATGCGAGAGAGTAGCACTTGTCAAGGCTGTTGCGTGCCACGGTACTGCCAGACACTGGGTCCTTGGTTGCGCATCCAGCGACTCGAAAGTGTGCATTCTAGGCACTGCCTGGATAGTTGCCGACAAAGTTGACAAATGAGAAACGCGTGCGTGACGTGACCCAAAATTTGCGTCGAAGTAGTAGACTACTATTTGCGTCGAAAATAGTCCTGCTCGAGATGTGTAACCTACAGGCTGAAGACCGAACACTGCTTTGGCCGTAATACCCCTGCGGTCACTGATTCTTTCCGCTTCATCGACCATCACTTGACCCCAGAACATTGCGTGAGAGCCAAGCCTTCCACGGTGGAAGTTCCACCCGAGCTTTTCGTCCAGGTCGTGTCAGTCTGCCCCAGCCTCGTCGCTGCTGACGTGTAAGATATCAGGAGCGGCTCCTCAGCAACTATAGTACAGCCAGTGTACCGTCTCGAGTGATCGCGAACGTTGACCATAGATAAACTCACAGTTCCACTGACTCCTTTGTGCCCGAACTTCATTGCATCCTTCCAAGACTGCCCTCATGATCGAGTAGCAAAAGCTTCGCATTAAACGTGAAACGCACCAGAGTGTCTTGTATCCACAAATTTTGTGGCACCAACCCAATATATCCTTGAGGTGATGGCAGTAATCTCATGGCTACGACGGCGACAGAGCCTTCCGACATGGCCAACAAATTTCGAATATATTTTGTCCTTCGAGCAAAAACCAGATCACACGGGGTTTGAATTGGGGATCCAGGCTAGATCAGATGATGAGCTGGATCATCCAGCTCATCATCTCATCCATCCATCATGGATCATGATGGATGGATGACTCGCTCATATCATCTACTGTATCCGATTGCCCCTTCTACCGAGTAGAATCAACTCATGTTACAAACCATACGGAACGCTACTTAGATCTGGGACGAAATTTTCTACTCGCTTTGCTTTCTCTCGCGATTTTAACAGATTTCACCCTCTTTACACCTTCGTCTAACGACGCTACACCATCATTTGCAACAAGCCCACACCCTAGATCCCCTACGTTCATCTAATACTCGTATTAATCTAATACTAAGTCGTCCTGTACAACAGAATTGAAATTCCGGACAATGGAGACGGTTCCCTAAAGTGACCAAATTTTAGGTCCCAACGTTAACCGGATCTATGGTGCAGCCAATCATAGATGCATCATGATGCAGAAACTCTCTGACCGGTTTCAACTTGAAACCGGTCAGAAAGTTTCTGCTCACATCCCCTGTGTTTGGAGATGCGCTCATGGCCTCAGCGAAGAACACGAGTTAGCTCGGGCCATGGTACGAGGATGTTCTCTCTCCAATGGAGAGCCTTATTCTCTTCAAACAAGGTGTGGCGACAGGTGATTTTTCAGCTCTGGTCTAATCTGCGTAAGAAGACCAGCCAGGTGAGGCCACCCACCTTGCAGTTGTTGGAAGCCACGAGTCGCGGACCCAGTTTGCGGGTCCCGTGTTGTGGTTTATGGCAACTGCCCTCCCCAACTCGCAGATCGAAGGTTTCGACCCGATGGTATTGCAAGTTGAAATCGAAGGCCCAGAGTCGAAAGTACTCTCATCACGCACTTCGAGTTCCTATCGACCTCAGACGAATTTGAAAGTTCCATGGCAAATTTGAAAGTTCTGAATGCGGATATAATTTTCGCGTTTCTAATTTGTACCTCCAACTCCCCGCATTCTGACGAAATTGCCGATTGACTCTTGTGCAACCCAACACCACTCTTTTTACTGGCTTGGTGTCCTTATCGGATAGATAGTGATGGAAGAAATCGGGGATTACGAACCAACTCAGAATTCTTGTGGTATGTGATATCCTCGGAACATGAATACCAAATCCATGATAACCTTCACATATAGAAATCTAACATCGGGATCGTCAGGCTGGCATATTTTGTAACCACATATGATGCGTGGCTATATGTCTCCAAAAGACTCGACAAATGTAACTGTTGCTGAGCTACGGGAATGTAAAGCGCACTCATATGATCACGAGTCGGGACTACCATACTTGAGAGAAAAGAGGGAAAGGTGGTGACCCTCGTCTATTCCGAGGGATGCGGGAATCCGAATGGGATTGGAATGTAAAAGAGAGGAATGGTATCCGTGTAGGAGATCTGTAAATGATCTATCGACACATCGAAAGACAATGAAATGACGGTTGTGAACTCCCATGCGCCTTCATCCTGATTGTAAACATTCTTGACAAGAACCCCTATGCTCGAGCTCAGTGGACCGTTGGTGTTATCTGCCTGGATGTTCGCCGTGAGCTGATGCGTTCCATTTTTGGATTTGTCCGTATGCACATACGCGTAACCATCACCCTGCCCCTTCGCTTGCACCATACCGAAGTAAGGGACAGTTACCCAGGTTTCCAGGGACATTGGGAAGTCGATCATCTTCCCATTACTAACATCACGGCCGCCGTTCTTCACGAAGGTCGGTACAGTGAACTGAACTACAACCGACATGTTACCTGGTATATTAAATTCCCAGGTACTCGTACCAGAGACCCAAACACCCACATCGACCGGTCTCTTGTTCGACGCGAGCAACACTCCAATCTCGAAGTCGACCGTTCTCGAGTCAGACTTATTGGAGGCAAGCAAAGTGCCACCATTGACTTGATAAGAATCCTCGAGGATGAACACGCAATGGTCCCTCCTCTGGTTAGGAGGCAAGCAATTATCGGGAACCTCCTTCACCACCGGCATACGGAGAGAACGTGGGTCAGGACTATGGGTTGACTTGCCGGTAGTATCGTCAACCGTGAATGCACCAGCGCCAACAAACGTCATCATTGTCATCAGAATGAGGATGACGTTGGGAATCGTTGTGGCCTTGAAGGTCTTCATTTGTTGGGAATCATCCTCGCAGTCCCGTCTGACCCTAGGAGTATTATTCATAACTTTGGAGTGAGGAAAAAAATGAAATCTCGATCTTCGAATAATGGCGTACAATCCACACTATACTGAACTAAGTCCTCAGGGTTATGACAAGGTGTGTTCGAAGGATTGTGCGCCCTTAGATTTGTGCGCCTGTGCGGAGTCCGCACTGCGGACTGAGCTTCGTGCGGCCGTGACGTGCAGGGTTATGTAAGGAGACGACATACAATCGAGGAGTAATTTCAGAACTCGCGATTTCCTATTTTGACGACAGTTGTTATTTCCCAGACTCAAGCGTGCCAAGTGGATTCCCGAATGATTCATGCTTCACAAAAAAGTGTAGATAGGCGTTGTGGGCAGTTTTGTGCGGCTCCTCACTTCATGTTGTGGACGGATATACTCGAAGTCGTGATCGGGTCGTCGATTGATACTATAGGGAGTTGATGCTAGTGACTCTGGCAACACAATCCCAAAGGTAGATACGGATGTTGGGTAATACTTAGCTGCGGTCGACAAGGTTGGCAGGGGCGCAAGTTGCGCCGCGCAACAGTAATCCTCATAAGATCCCCTTGAAAGACTCTGAATGCAATCGATCGTTTGACGCATGCATACGTTAGCCAGGGATAAGGCTCTCGCGCTCACCTTATACTGTCTATTTTGCACAGGCGGGGCCGCACAGGCGGACAACAACAAGGTAGCTGGCGATTGCCGAACGGAGTCGATCTACGTATAGGCTATACGCTGGTAACCAACATCGATCAACTAGCGTACTTAACGTGAAACGCTACGAATGAACGAGATTCCGCACAAGCTTGTGCGGCCTGAACCTACTACGAACCGTAAGCGAAGACAAGCGTAAGTCAAGACAGGCCCGAATCGTGTCACACGATCACCGTTGGAGGCGATGGTGATAAAATAAGAAGGTTACGTTACAACTTCCCGTGGCCGTAGAAAGTTCTTCAATCTATTCCACAAAAAAAACCTCCTTACTTTTATAGCAACGAGTAAATCTAATAGTGTGATTGAGCATAGTTTCGTTTGGATACTCGCGACAGTTATTTATGCCATAATGCCATTGGCATTTCTTATATATGGAGTTCAATATGTCGGGAAGTTTTATCTAACGACAACGAAACTTGGAAAGGTCATTTATTGAGATTTATATCAGCGAAAATATCAAAAATCAATATACCTCCCATCGGAAGAGAGAATCCTTACCGCAAAGTTCTTGATTGTAATACGCTTGAGCAAATGATACGGAAATCTATAGTTGTGTATAGCACGGTCGAGAAAGGTGTTGCAACATATTTCACTACTATGTCGGGAGTGACTTCGTCTCAGTTTCAATCGCCTATAGCTCGTATTGACGTAAGAGAATCATGCAAAAGCTTATGTATTACACGCCTTGATGTTACACGCACGAGTAGACATGATGTTGCTATAACATTGAATTTTTCTGATAGAATTTATAAGCTGCGGTACATCGGTTTTTCTCGTCAAAAACTGGAATCAGCTGCGAATAGTAATTTCCTAGCGGGATGTTGCCTTCTCCCTATATCGTTTTCTGTTGAATAATTTAACTTGAATTGGTTCACTTCTCTTCTTCTACTCGCACTTCACAAATTGCACGAGAAATACCTCGTCACGTTCAACGTCATTGGAGCATCTTGTGCTATGAGCTCGTATTGAAACAAACTTCATCTGAATACAGGGCTGGGTATTCGCAGCCTTTGGATGCCACAACTGTTTTCGCATGTAATAAACATCACGTTCTCCTTGCTCGCGATGTGCTGAGAACAGATTTTCATATTCTATCTTCATGCCGAATTCTCAGGAAGTATGTAGTCGACGAAGTTATGTTAGATTTGTTGTTAAAATTGCACTATCGCGCCGTGTAAAGAACATTTCATCACGTATTCAGATAGTGCATATCATTTGCATTCTCAAATCTCACGTATACCTACCACCCCCCCCCCCCCCCCCCATGCAAGCACAACAACACTGTCGATTCAGTCTCTCACTTCTTCCTGTTTTTCAGAAAATTCTACCTGTAGTGATATCGATTCACTCCATGGCAGTATAGACACTTCCTCCCAATTTTCGTCGTCCTCTAGTCATACATCGTCTGATGAATCTAGTAGTTTGGGTATAAGTGATTTTGCTGATATTGATTATATAGAAAGCACAGTATCTTGGGGTCCATCCGGATGATCCGGTAAACCAGACAATTCCTTCTATTCGAATCATTAAACTCGATTTCTCCAAGATCGCTCACTGTGAAACCAAGTGTGACATGTAACCACGTTCATGGTAAAACCTGTCAATCGTTCTCGCCTCGCGCAACCTCGTTCGTAACCGACTCGTACCGTCCTCGTCTAACGGTATATAGGATTGCCTTCGAGGAGATGCTCTTCTCACTGTTGTCTCTACCACACCTTTTCCGCATCCTACCGTAGATGCCTCTTTCGCATCAGAGCTAGCCAGTGTCGACCTCACGCGGCCTGGATCAGTTCGATTCTGCGGTATTGACGATGATGGAGGATAATGCGGTCCTCGTGCGGAACAGAGGTACTTCAGTCTAGAGTCAGGAAGGAGTGCCGCTGATTCTTCAACCGTTATTGGAGGCGGTTGTGCAAATGTTGGGGAAGACTCGATTGCAACCAGCATACCAGAATTCGACAACATTTCGACTCGTTCCTGCCGACTTAGTTCAGCCCAACGCCCATGTGACTGAGCAAAAAGCGTTGCGGAGTTGAAGACAAAAATCAAATGGGAGCACCTCAACTGTATCGCCGTATAAGGATTCGTCGCAATGCTCTATCGACAGACTGTTCTACTGTACAAACGTCACAGGTGATACAAATACAGTCAAACACTCACATTTGGGACAACTTCAGGATTCACTGACCGGTCGGAAATGGTCATAGTGAAAGCATAGCACAACACTGGAAATCTGTCCCGCTTGAGAGATCTCTTGCTTCGTCAGCGCAGAGCATTGAAATGAATTAATTCAACTCTATATGCACTACAACTGATACGAAACCACAGTATATAACTCACACTTCAACTGCGAAGATTCACAGACAGTTTCAGCGGAACGAGATATTGAGACGGTTACTGTGTGGACAATCAAACGACCTCAGGTTCGAATCCCAGCACCTCCCTCGGCGTCGTGCAAGTATAGCAGTATATAACGGTAATCACTTAACCAATGTTGAGACGGAAGAGATCGTTCATGCAGTAGAAGCCACCAGTACTAGGGTTGGGAGCCAAATGAAACACCTAAAACCAATAGAGTTCAACGAATAATATCCAAGCTTCGACCCGACCTGTCCGAACTTGAGAGGATTGGCGTTGTCATCGACATAGAGATTACCAGTAACGAAGACGATTACACCGTTGTTGGAGGGATTGGGTTGGCAATCGGCCTTGATGATCTGAGAGATTTACGGTATGAAGTATACGATTAAACGATGGAGTGGTATGGTACCTGATGTCTAACCTTCTGGAAAGGAAGGCCGGCGATCTTCTGCACGATGTTGGTAGCACCCTGAAATTGCTCCCCCTCGAACGTCAACATGGACGAATCTGATATGAGAATGTGTAAAATCGAAATTGAGATGAACTGGTAGAACTCTACCTCCATAGAGTGGACCTAGTTGACTTCGGTTGGCATCGAAGGTCTGATAGTACTGCTGTACGAACTGGTCGCCTATGGCTTGAAATTGAGGGTTGATCTGAGCCATTGAAAATGAGGTTCACAAGGATAACCTACGAGTAAAACCATGATTGAACTCAGAGGGAAAAAGCGCCCATCCCACTGGAAACACAACAGTAGGAGTAAATCGATCAAACGCTATTTGTAACTACTGGCCGTTCATAGTGTACTAGATGATCAGCGAGATCGCTGAAGCTATTCTATCAACATGAAGCGTAGCGGCTTGGCAGCAATGGTTTAGAAAGGGTCGTCGAGATGCCTATAGCTACGGTAAACGCTTGTGAAATTTTTTCCACATTTTGCACAATACCGGAATATTTCGCTCAGACGAACGATTTTGCTCGCGCATAATCGTTGGTCGTTGTAGCATTCTTACTTTAGTGACTTACCACCTTCCGAATGACTAGTCTCTCTCCCGATGGGCGCAGTCCCGCCACGTTAGACCTCGCCATGGTTGCTCGAGAGCTCCGGGCGGCCCGGGACGAGCCTCCCTCCTCCTCTCGAAATTTCCCGAAGGAGTGGTATGGAATATTTGCACGCAAGAACGGCTTTACCAAACCACTGAGCAAACTACAACTACTATCATGGATCACCTTCACCGTTGATGTCGTTCTCGGTGCCATTATAGCAGTGCCAATCCTACTGAGTGAATCACGCTGGTTTGGCTGGCTGATCTCAACGCTGTGGTTGATCAGCACTATATTCCTCATCGGTTCCACGTACACAGCGACTCACTGTGACCCCGGTCGTAAATCAAGACCCCTCGAGAGTACCCGCTTCTGCCTGTTCTGCAAGCGTAATGTGAGCGCTGATGCTAAACACTGTCGACAGTGTAACAAATGCATAGACGATTTCGATCACCACTGTGAGTGGCTCAACAACTGCGTTGGTCGTGAGAACTACACCGCCTTCATTTTTGCCGCTACCTCAGCCTTTGTCTTCACAACACTTCTAGTCGCATTTTCCGGTCTGGAAATCAGCCGATATATTGGTGATGGTTCGGAGGCTACCGTTTATCGTTGGAAACGGGTTTACAATAGAGCTGATGATGAAACATTAGTTGGTCTGTCACTAACCCTTTTACTGGTGAACTTACCTCTAACATTGTGTACATTACAGCTACTAGCATTTCACGCGTTCTTGGCTTACAAAGGACTGACTACGTACGAATACATCGTGTATAAATTAAACGGAGAAGAGGCGGAGCGAAGCAGACCTCCACAAGGAAGGAGAGTTTGGAATCGATTCAAGTCATTGCCGACTATCATGGACTGGTTCGTATTCATTGGTCGGTCGAAGAGATCTTCTGGTGAAGCTCGAGATGGTTCACCTCCGTTACAAGTTGACATTGAAAGTAGGTGCAATAGCAGCAGTAGTAGTCGCCGGGTTGAACCTACTGAGGTTATTATTGAATCGCCCAAGAAAACAGTAGGTTAGGATCATTATTATCACATGGCCATGCTGTGAATATGAATGATATTTAGTCGTGTATAGGTTTGAGTTCGAGAAGTGACAGAGTTACGGTATGATTAGCAGTTCTCTTTATTATCATGCCGTCCAACCGCGATTACGATCACCTCTTTAAATTAGTGCTCATCGGTGACTCGGGTGTTGGCAAGTCCTGCTTACTACTACGATTCGCCGACGATAGCTTTACGGAGAGCTACATCACCACTATTGGAGTCGATTTCAGGTGAGTCAATATTAAATATCCAGAATATGAGCATAACGAATGAGCTCTCGAGATGATCTTTGTCGTTGAATTAGATTATACCAAAAATATGCACACGATCAACTATGTGTGTTGGTGACAGCATAAAAATTATGAGGAAACTTCGGAAAATTATCGTTGGGGTTTGTGTATTACTATCCTGGTTCGTTTTGTAACTTCTTGGAAATTCTTGAGCTCACCTGAGGAAACCGAACGCATATCTCAACACTGCTTCTCAGTGGTCGTTATTAAGTTCAGCTGAAAGTTATTTTAAACGAATCAATTTCCTATATTCAGATTCAGAACTATCCCGGTTAGTGACAAAACTGTGAAACTACAAATTTGGGATACTGCCGGGCAGGAAAGGTTCCGCACAATAACTTCTGCGTAGTATTCGGGGGAAGTCATCTACATATTAGATTAGCAGATGGTGAACCATAGTCGAGAGAAAACATGCAGTCTTCGTGTGCGATGCTAGGCTAGCCGCCTCGGGTCGTTATTCGTATCGCAGTGAAGAGCGTTGTCATTTCTGCAGGCTTCCTTGTGACTGGTTTTGAAGTGAAGATATCATCAATTGATTGTTTACTATTATGCACTGCGAGTTTTTCGGTTGTTCGGTTCGCTGACAATGGAAATGAGAGTTGAAAACTTCATTGATGGAACTGATAGTTTTTAGAACAGGAGTTGTCCGATCCATGGGAGTTTCACTTCACGTTTAGGAGCTCCTGAATAGGTACTACAGAGGAGCAGATGGAATTATGATGGTTTATGACTGTACGCACAGGGAGTCATTCGAAAATATTGATAATTGGCTTAGCGAAGTGAATCGGTACTAATGTTGGCAGTTGACTTTCCCTTTACCTGGTGGATTCCTATGTGTAGTTACGCTAACGACTCGACTGTGAAGATTTTAATAGGAAATAAATCTGATCTCAAGGAGGACCAGCAGGTTACTCCAGAGGAGGGGGAGCAGAAGGCGAAGGCCTTAGGCTTTTCTGGTTTCATTTTAACGAGCGCCAAGGTGGGAAGTTAGTGTTCGTGTTGATGATTATTATTATACTTGTTAGTGGTGTCGGTAACAGAAGTACACTCTGTATGTCGAAAATTATTTTTGTTGGTGGAAAAAAATTCCGAGGAAACTTTACGAAGTTATTGTGGATTTTTGCATACCTCTAGCCCAGGACGTGTGTAATTTTTCAATTCTGAACTGAGGGAAACAAACATATATTCCAACATGAAGTCTTGGATTGGATTTGATGGGACTCCATTCGTTCTAAGGACTTCTGCAGAGAAATTGTATTTTGTCTGTCGCGAAATTCATGTGAAAAATGCCGTAACTTGATCCACCGCGATTTCGCATATTTACGGGTACGTTGGAGAATAACTATAGAGAATGGAAACGTGTGGGGTGAAAATTTCAAACAAGGAAACGTCGTTGACCGGAAAAATCAGAAAATATAGTTTCTTTTACGAGTGGAACTTGCATTTTATATGATAGTGTCGTCTCTCGAAGAGTTGTTATTCATCAGGACTCATCCAATGTGGAGAAAGCATTTTCAATGGTCTCGCAGTCTCTCATTGATACACGTGCGGCTGCGGCTGCTGGTCAGGACGGTAGCCGGCAACAGAGTGGAGGGGTAGTAGGAGGAGGAGGTCTCGGGCTCGATCCCTGCGGGTGGCATTATTCTTTCAGATTATGCAACTGCGCAACGCGGGATCGTCAGTGTCGGGCTACTATCCTTCAAATTGCTGTGGTCAGTGAAGTCCCTTAGGAGTTGGAAGGGAGTTCGTCGTGCTCTGCATCTTTTCATAGTCACTAATGCATTGTGTTGGTTATTCCCATACAAAATTGGCCTAAACTTTTCACGAATACGGATGATATAAGATGCCCCTAACACGTCTGAATGCCATTGTGGGAAATACCACAATTGGAAACATGGAGCTTTCGAGGAGTATATCGCAACACTGTAATGGAGGGCTAGTATTCTCAACGGCGAAAATGAGTTGGTCAAAATCCTAAGATGGAATCTCTCCTGAGTGATTCACCCAGTGTAATACATCCTCGCATAGTATATGGCCCTAGTCAACATTCGGTGAGTATTCACTCGATACCACACCATGAAGACTTCCTATCAACCTGTGGTGGAGGACTTGTATCATCATTAGTATTAATAATACTGTATTACCGAATTGGTAATACAGTATTGTAATGAGGCTCCTCCTGTATTGGTAATACCAATACAACCAGGGGGGCTCGCGACACTATTCTACAATGATCACAGATCTACATGGGTGCCGCCGCTCGGGAGACATACACGAGAGATGGCGATATGCCTCACTAGGCAGTCCGACAATAGCTTGATTTCCAAAATAGCAGAAGCCGCGAGCATTCCGATTCGGAGATGCATACATGAGGCACGGCAGATGAGAACTAAGATCACTTCAGACCACCCTGTATAGATTCATTAATGGTATAGTTCATAACGGGGGTCCTACTAGTCAAATGGACTACATCAGTCCTTCACTGATAGACTAATTGTCTTGTACAAAGCATCAAGCAGTGTTGTAATTTATGATCGCTTTTCTAATATTATCACCAACACGTGTGGTCGCCCATGTGCACATTTTCCAACACTGGTTTCAAGGCTCCACTCAGCACAGTCTGGTAGTGAATCGCGGTTAAACTTTCAAAGTCGTAACACGCTATTATGGGTCTCGTTGACATGTATTAGATCTCCCAAGGTCATGATGGAGCACAGAAACTTCTCGTGCAAATCAGCTTAGCGCGACATCACCCCCACTAGGTCTTGTCGGTTGAAACTTCCCTTCGTAACGAGTAATACATGGTCTTCAGCCACGTCCATCTACTCACAGTGGAGCTTGTCCTAACAACCCGAACTGATAGTTTTTATTCCCCCAATAGATTCACTCTCAACTCAAAAGCGAGCAGAAAGAAGTGTAACGTCATCACGGCAGTGACTTGAGGGACGATGTGGAAACTTAGATCCTCTCGAGAGGTGTGATATCGAGGATGTCGAAACACTGGGCTAAAACACGTCTGGTGGCCTCACACAGAAGAAGTCGAGAACGCTCCTGATCCGATCCAACAACCTTGCATTCGGTGTAGAAGGCGGTGAACCTGATGATGACGATGTGGCGGAGGTGTGGTATGATGATTACCTGTTAGTGAGATCCCACATGTACTCACAAAGTCGATGGCACTGGAGATCGGCCAAGACGGATTGCATCACTTCAGCGAAGCGGAGGATCTCCAAAGCCAAGGCCCGCTCCTTCTCCTCAGTGATGGTGACCTCTTCAGAGGAGTAGTCGAGCCCGGAACTTATGAAAGGAAAAGGAAGGATGATGAATTAGTCGTTGATTATTATTATTACTGGTAATCGAAATTGGCCTTCCTAAGGATACTGCAGATTCTGGCATATGCGTAGAGGAGGAAGACCGCAGTGTTGCCCTTCGGGTCGAGCATCTTGTCGAAGTTAAATATATAATTGGTAGTTCTGTTTTGGCGTAAGTCAAAGTATCGAACAGATGCAACACCTATGAAAGGTATTAATTTAATACCACACCTTCATCACATCATCATCACCAATAATCTTCGATGCTCTATCGAATTCTTCCTCGGTGAGTCCGGTCGATCGTCCGGCCGCCTCCCCTTCACCCGCGTTAAGTCTCGACTCCAATTCCTTCTTCGCTCTGTCCTCGGCCTCATCGAGAAGGTCAGTCAACTTCACAGTGGCGCCCTAAAGGGAGTTTATAATAATCAATGACAATAACCATAGACATGCCCCACCGATCGAGTTTTGAATTTTTTGCCATCATCACCACAGACAACACCAAAGCCGAGGTATTCGAGTTTAGTTTGAGGAGGATGATGCCAACCGGCCATCTTGGCGACTTCAAAGAGCTTCTTGAAATGAACTTCTTGTCCGAGGTCGGTAATATAAACAACTTCATCAGCGTGTAGTTGAGTTAATCGATACCACACCGCCGTCACATCAGTACTATCATAGCCGTAACCACCATCACTCTTAACGACCATCATCGGCACCTGAGTGTAATAAAAATCAATTAATCAATGATCGACTAAATCATCATTTACATCATCAACATCAGTGAAGATACACTTCGCGCCGTTTGACTCGACCACGAGGCCCTCCTTCTCCAACGTCTCCACAGTCGGTCCGATCATTTCGTTGTAGAAACTTTCGCCTTGTTCCTTCAACCCTTCAATGCCAAGACGATTATACACCTGATGACGGCCACATCGGGGGCATCCTTCCAATGGCTGTTATTACCTCTTCGAAACTCTTCCTCGAAATGTCACAGCAAATCTGCCAGGCCTTCCTCGCGTATTCATCGCCCGACTGGAGGGCGACGACTTCTTCTTGAGAACGCTTCTTGAAATCGGGCTCCTCGTCAAAACTGATGAAATTCTCCGAGAAAAAAATCCGATTGATGATCACTTTACCGTTTCTTAGCGGCCTTGTAGAAGGTCTGAAGATCGGAGACTTCCGGGGTGTGATGGAGGAAGTCAGGATAAGCATCCTTCATGTGTTCAATCAACATACCAAATTGAGTACCCCAATCGCCGACATGATTAATACGATGAACCTGTGAGTCGAGTAATATTAGCAAATCGTCAACATCCTTCTATTCAGCGCTGTACACAGGGGTGGGCGAATTGAGCAATCGCTCTGAGGCTCAGGTTCACTGGCTCCCCAGCCACGTGATTACTCCTTGAAAGGAGGCCCCGGTCACCCGTTTGCCCAGGGCCCCAGGATAGCCGAAAATCGAGACAGCACGGCTTCTATTACATCATTTCCGGAGTATTCGAGTATTCGACTGACGGTCTCGCCGAGGATGGTACTCCTCAAATGTCCGACATGCATTTCCTTGGCGATGTTCGGACTAGACATGTCAACGATGACCTTCCTCGGGGCTTCCTTATTCGGCAAATCCAAAGTAACTTTACCATCTTTGCATTCTCCGAGAACCTGAAGGATCCTCCACTCCTCTTTCAGTATTTCTTATTACACTTGATGTCAACTGCTTGGCGATCCAGCCAGAGGAGAGTTTGACCGTAACAAAACCAGCGGGGGCGACGGTGACACTTTCGAATTCCTCAGGAGATTCTGAAGAGAAACATCTGATGGTCCTTCCTAATGAAGACGACGACCGACCTTCCATCAAATTGGATTTGATCTTCTCGCCGATTTGCTTTGGAATTTTCATTCCATCAGGAAGTTCTGACTTGAACTTCTTCGCCAACCCCATGGCGTTGTTGCATTGATAATCCCCAAATTTAGGATTGGCAGTAGCGACCATCGGATCCGGACAAGATGCCTGTCGATGGTCATTGGACACCTTCTAGCAATTATATTCCTACCTGTAAGTTCGAGGGTATGGTGGACCTCAACGCCTTACCGAAGGCCTCATGTACTTGACTGGATACTGGCTTCATGGATAACAAGAAGGAAAAGGAAGAGGAAAAGGAAACTGAGCAGCAATGCTACTGTATGTGATGGAATCCAATCACAGGGAAAGCCATGTGCAAGAGGAACCTGACAAATTCCAAAGGTTTGCTTTTAGCGACCGCCCACCTAATCGATTATCCCGTATACCTTGTTCTTTCCCAACCAAACCTGCGCGGACTGTGACGGCCCTTTTCATTCCGATCCCCAGCATGGCTCTGTTGATGTGTACCCGCGACGATATACGTGATATATGATGAAGTAGGTCTTAGCCGAATTCCACCTTGTCAGTGGCTTCCGGCGCAAAACAATAGCATCAAAATGAATGCTGGTGGCGTGTAGGTTAAGAGGAAGGAGTAGTTCAAGGTCGGCATTGCAGGCATCGCCCTGCGAGGAAGCAACAGGCTTCTAAGCTGCGCAAAAGGTTTTGGAACTAAAAGTGAGCAGGAGGTTAACTACTTGAACAGTTCAAGTTGTACCAGTAGTAAGTTCAAGTTGAACTTACTACTGGTAAGTTACTGCATGGGACAGATTGTGGTCGTCGTTGTAATGACCTTATCCCCGGCTATATCAGAACTTCTTGGGGTGAAAAATTTTCGCTGAAAATCCCTAAGGTCGAGGTCTAACTATGTCAGCACTTTACACTTAGTATGACAGCTAAACTAAGCAGGTAGTCCAGCTACTTCAAAGTTCGCCAGTTTGCTCGTGGATTAATGATTCTACATTCCTACTCTACCAAGCGAATAACGAGAGCGGGTGCTCAATCCACTCAAGATCCTCGTGTCAGCAATGCTGGCAAGACGCCATACTCAAGTGCTCACGCTAGTATGATCCCCTACAGTAGGGGCCCTACTCCACGTAAGATGGCTGAGGTATTTTAAATAGAAACAATCAGAGGTGGTGTGCCCGCATCAACCTGGGCTGTGAATAGGTTCGAAAGTGGTGCATCCGATCTCCTCGATTGCTTGATGGGGATGGAGCTGAAGCTCGAGTCAAAAAGCGGAGAAGTTATTAGGGCCAACATGCCTGCTCCTGAATCCCCTACACTAGTCGGAATCTCAGTGAGATCATGAGGGATCCTAGTGAGATTCCGACACGCTAGGAACCTAGAGAGAGGGCTGGACTGCTGTCAACCATCGGCAGTCAATGGCAGACTCTGCATCATGCGAGTTGCATCTTGGGGTCTGAGAGTTTGTACGATCTCACATTTGTCATTCCACGTGTCTATCTGAGTCAGTGTCACGATACACCCACAGTTGAGTTTGATAAGAAGAATGTGCAGGACGCGAAGGAGGACTCTAAACACGAAGCTCGGTTCTGGATGCGGAACGAGTGCGATTTGGTCTTCTGTTGCCCGGAGCACTGCCAAGAAGCTGTCTACCTCATCTTTAGGGTGGAATAATACCGTCCACCGGTCACCAGTGAATGACGCATCTAGATTGGGCGGACATGGTAGCAAAGTTATTTGTGAGCTTACTGTGAGGTATAATCCGTATGGAAGCTCGGCCTGATTATGACCTATGACAGTGCCACTGACAATGATCAGGCAGTCTAGCTGAGAGGAGATGTGGAGAATTCCCTCTAAAATTGGGAGCAATCAGTGTTACAGACTGTGGCCATGAATAAAATGATGTTCTTTTTGTTTCATGGGAAGGGATGATTGAGTGCAAAACGGGTACAGACGCCGCTCTGAGCGGACCGTTTGGCGGGGCGCTCGTCGCAACTACAATTTTCGTCAACAAGTGACGAAGGACAAATTGAGCAAAATTGTCACTACGATGAAGAACGAGGTTCTTGAACCGTTCATCACTGATATATTACCGATCGGATCAACTGCCCTATTTCAGGCCTCCCATGGTACGAATGGCGAGAAAACCTTGATGGTACAGTCATATAACTTAAATCATGTAAGCGTGAGTGAATGCTTTTTTATTGAATCGGACCTTTGCCCAGTGCTCAACGGGATGGCTTGTGTATTCTGTGATATGGCGTTTATGATTGCGGCCAGTGGGATTCTCTCTCAGCTGCCGAGCTCTGTTTACCTTGCGTTAGAATTTCATCATTATTATAGGCAATTATGAGATATTGCAGTGTAGCGGGTAGTACATGAACGCACGACGATGAGAGCGAGGGCGCGAAAACCAGTGAAAATTGCCCTGGCCATCCCGCGGAATTCTCTTATTGATACAACGACATTGTAGCTGCGATTGAGAACTTGTCAGTTGTTCTGTCACTGGTAGTGATCATACACCATATAGCGCACTGAGTATCAGTGCGCTGGCGGCCGGGCTTCCGGCGCGCTAACGCAATTATCGTAAGCCTTCTGGACTAACTCTTTCCCTCCGGTGTTCCAAGAGCCTGGGGGACTTCGTTTTCCCTTAGCTTCGACGGCAGCGGAGCGTCAAATATCTGACTTGTAACAAATCAGAAATTGCAACATAACATTTGCCGACGACAAATTGTCGTAATTTTGTTTCTTGAGGAATTGAAATTCAATGAAAGGAAAGTCTTAGCCGAATTACTGTGATTCCGTTCAGACTGTGATGGGGCGGAGATGGCGACGCGAATAGCCATCATTTCAGCTCGTAATTCTTCCCCACACACTCTCTCTCCAGATTTTCATCGATAGCCTCTGGACAATCGTAGTGCTGCACGACGTACATACCGCCTCACCAAGTTGCTCACATGCTCCTCTGTAACAGGTCAAGGACCTGAGGTCCTCGGAATGGTACAAGCTGCCCAACTCTGAGCGCTTCGCGCAGAGAGCCCTCTCCGAACAGGTCTAATTCTGTCGAATATCGCCCACGGGATAGCAGTAGATGTACTGAGAAAGAGTCTCCGCTCGCCGGTCGGGGATTGCTCGTGACCAGCACTGCCAGTTGTTGACCCCGTTCGCTGTCGTCTACCTACCTTGCGCGTTCTGGTGGATCACAATTATTTTGTATCAATCGTTTGACAATGGCTCCACCGACATCATCTGCTATTGACAAATCGCTCGCCATGCAGCATTCGAGTAGTTCCCGTATCGCACATGCTCTTACTTGCACTTGTCTGTTCACAGCGTGGACCCACCCTGACTCTCCGATGTCCTCCTTCACGAAGTATTCTGTCGCCGACACTCTTTCGCCGTTAATCCGGTACTCTCTCTTCCGGTAGTAGCTGAAAAGTTGATGGTAGGTGATGGGGTTGTCCACGAACAGCAATTCGGGAGGACGAAGTTGGAACAATGTCATCGCATCTGCTGCATAACTATGTCTCTTGGAATCGTCGTAGACTATCCGTCCCTGACACTGCTGAATTTGAACACCATGTGACACTATCTTCTGTATTACGTGTGAATAGTCTGTTCGGTGGAAACTGTAGGACTCTCTCACGATGAATAAGTAGATCTTCTTCAGGTCTATCAATGCGCTTTCGGTAGCATACAGTTCCTGTGCGCTCACATAATGGCTTCGTAGGACACGTCACGAAATCCTCATCGCTGATAACGTAAGATAAACCAAAACTCTACCATAGACTCTCTGTAGTCGATATTATCCTTCCACTTTCACAGGTGTTGTGATCTGCTGTGAGATCCGTCCTTCTCGTTCCCAGTTTGATGTTCTGTATCCCGTCCACCTCGACGTTCACGGTATTGTCATTCCCTCCACTACTGACTCTCGCTCCGATACGCTCTTCTGGGCCGCATAAGTACTTTGCCAGGTATTTAGCGTTGAAGTACTCATCGCAAATTTGAATGTTCATCGAGCTTCGGGTGATGAAGAATAGCAGGGGACACACAGGACTGATATGCTCTCCCTGGTCGGCTGCATACTTATGCCTCCCTGCCTGCAATGCTTTACATACCTGTCGTTTACTCTCAGGTTTGGTCCTGTGTGCAAGTCCGATCTTCTCGAGAACGCGCGAGGCCTTTGCTGAATGTAGTGCCTTAATCGTCATGAAGCTACGCTATCTAGCAGGTGAGTGGAGAGGGACTCGGCATTCTTCGACCCATTCTGTGGCTTCCGCCTCACCGTCGACTGCTATTCTGCGTCTCTTTATACATCGACTGTTTGCCTTCCTACAGTCGGGACTCTGAGTACGTTTCTAATCTCTCAGAAACTCTCTGCACTCCTCCCATGTCTGTGCTAGACCCGCTCCTTTTATCTTCTTCAACGTCGCTGGGCATAAATATAAGCCGTGGTTCAAGTCATAGGCTGTGGTTGTTGCACAGCTTATGTTATCTCGAATTTCATCAATGCTCGCGCTCGACTTCATCTTCATCAAACAATGCAAATGCGGTAGATTTCCTGAAGCGTCCTGAAATTCCCATCTCGCAAATGTACTCTGCACTTCTCCTATCAGATTCTCCCTCGATAGCCGCAGATACTCGAGTAAGTACCGCATTGTCCGCTCCCATCCTAAGGCGAGATCAGCCAGAATCCCCTCCTACAATGACTTGCTCTCTTCCTCTTTCAGATTTTCCGTATACTCTCGTACAGCTGCAGTAATCGGAGGTATCCCAATTTGGGATTCCCGAAGTGGGTACCCATATTGCAAGTGAGTCATGAATATTTTCAGGACCTTTGGACTAGAAGCGAGACTCGCAGCCAACTGCTTCACAGCGCGCCGCGAGTCCAGCTCATCGAACGGTAAGATCGATCCTTCTTCTACACTAACTTGTTCGGGTTTCGGCTCTCCCACAACGTTCGGAGAGAGCTCTCTCGACAAATACGGAGCTGCTCCGTAAACTGTATATGATTCATCTTCCTCAACTTCTGCTCGCTCCTCGCTGCTGTCGCTTCCTCCCACGGGTATATGCAGTCGTTTTCCCCGGACAGTAATCTCTTCACTCCTGTCCAGTGGAGAGTCTCCACTGTGTTTTGTAAGTGTCGTTGACATATTGCCGACCCGCAATGTGTAATCGGACAAGAGTAAGCTGCTTGTCTTCCACAGGGGTCTATACTGCACCTTCTTCCACTGTCACGTCGCTCTCGTGTCAGATACAGCCTACAACGGCGGCATTCCGCCGTTGATTAACCGCCGAT